GTAGGTAATAAATATGCTCTGTTTTAGAAGTTTGTCTTCTCCAATATTGCCTCAATTATATATTTGGTGCGAAATGAACTCGTGGGTAAAATATGTTGTAGAATAAAAAAAGTCTTGTAAAAGCAGCCTGGCTTTCTCAGCTTTGTTGAACCTGTCAAATTATATACTACAGGTGAAAAGTAGAAATTGGCAACACAAAACGATGTGGCATGTGCTGTGTCTGTTGACCGAAGTTTGAATCTCAAACCAACTTTTAAGAGTCAGTGGGCATCTTTGAAAGTACTGTGATAGGGCATTTTCATTGATATGATATGCAGCAGAGTAGTACTCGGGATGGGAAAAGAACATGATAGCATTTGGGAGGGGGAAGAAGGATCCTGTTGTGGCACACTTGGTGATGGGATGGAGTATTGTTCAAAGATGTGTTGGCAGGACCGTTGTTCATTTTGATTTCCTCTGCTCTCACTTGATAGTATTCAATGGACATTGATTATGCTGGACTTAATCCTTACTGAAACCATTTTTTTCTAAAACAGAAATGCCAGACTTGTTGTCAGTAGAAGATGACCCTATGGAGTCAGAACCATGGGCAAAGCCACTTGCTCATCTGTGGCAAAACCGGCCCCAGAACTTCCTTGCAGAACGAGAATACAACTGCATAGTGGCACAGCAGATGCCTTACTGCTCAATTTGTGCACTCTTCCAGTCATACCAGGTTTTGATATTTTTCATTTACCCCTCCAGTGTTTGTACTTGAACTGAAGCTTTCTTTTTTAAAATCATTGTGAATGGTTCCTTTAGGTAACAGATCTTCAGTCGTACTGTTGAAAAAAGCTAAAAACCAATTCAGATTTAAGAAACTTTTTGTAGAATGACTGGATTGTGAAAAAATATAACCATTTTGGTTCTAAACTAAATCGTGAAGGTAATTTGGTGTTTCTAAATGGTCTTTGCAATCCACTTTGCAAAATCTTCCCTAAGTTAGTTTGCATTTAATCTTCAATTGTCATCAGTTTAGATTCAAATAACAGTATTTGTTGTGATGTATAATGAAACATAGGAGTGGGAGTAGGCAATTCAAGCGTGCTCTGCCATTCCGTATGATCATTGCTCATCATCCAACTCAGTATCCTGTTCTTACCATCTCCCCATACCCTTGGATCTCTTTAGTCCTAAGAATTATATGTGACTACTTCAAAACATTAAATGTTTTGGCCTCAACCACATGCTGTGGTAGAAAATTAGACAAGCTTCCCACAATGGGTGAAGAAATTTTTCCCCATCTCCATCCTAAATGGCCTACCCACGTTCTTAGACTGTGACTCCTGGTTCTGAACTCTCTGGTCATAAGAAACATCATGACATGGTAAGCACAGTATAGTTATGGGTTTCTGAGATTTCCCACCACGCCCTGAAAATTGATTGGAAATTTAAACAAAATTTTGTCTTGAGAGGTTCTAGATGCTTAATTTACCTGATCTTTTGTCATTAGCTATGTTTCTTTTACTTCATTGAAGCTTTTTTTATTCTAATAGGTAGATTGTGAAGATGGTCAGGGTTCCAGAAGTAAAAGCCAATCGTTGGATGTGAGCAAACCCAGAAACCAAATGAAAAGCAAGCCATTGGTTCCAGAGATGTGCTTCACATCTGGAAGTGACCATGTAGACCTAACTCTTCCCACTTCTTATGTGGACGAAGATGGAATGAGCATTCTTGTAACATGTGCAAAGTGCTGTGTATGTGTTCATGCAAGTAAGTGTTATCTGGGATCTTTTGATAGAAGGAGTGGGGGGGTTTGGAAGGAGTTTTTTAACAGGTGAGCTCTCCCTGATGTAGCAACCAATTTTATACTTCAACCAACATCACTAAAAAAAGTGCATATCTCATTGCTGTTGTGAGACCTTGCTGTGTGTAAGTTGGCTGCTCTGCTTCCTACATTGCAGACAGTGAAATTCTTTTTGTAATTACACTCTTGTGAGCCTTTTGGAGCATCCTGAGGATGTATGATGCTCTAAAATTGCAAGTTCTTCCTTTGCTTACTGGTAGCTAGTTATGTTCTGAATTTGGAATTCTTAACTTAAAATCTGAGGTCCTGGATACGTTGAAACTGCTGAAATTTATATTTTATGGACGTTGGTTTGTAATACCAGCTTATGTTAATGGACCTGTATCATGACTGCTAGCACCATTTTTAAAAACTAGTTTCTATCTCTTTGAGAGTGATAATTGTGGGTAGGGCAGATGCTACCAGCCCAATGGGAAGCAGTTCTAACCTGGGAAGAATGGCATACCATTAGAGGAGAGAGGCTTTGAGATTTTTGATGCTGCACTGGAGGAGATAGAAAGGAAGAGGAATATTCTGTATCAGCAGAGATCTGGGAAGTCCTTCAGAAATGTGCTCAGATAGTAGTGAGAGCAGTAAACAATGGAGATAAAGGCCAGAATTTGAGACCTAAGGATCTGGGTGCATAACCTCCTTGACCTAGCACACACTGTCAAGGTAAATAATTTTCAAATGCCATATCCTGCTGACTACTAACCTTAAGTACTTTGATTTGATGTATTATTGTCACATGTACTGTGGTACAGTGAAAAGTATTGTTTTTACATGCAGTCCAGGCAAGTCATACCTTATAAGTACATCAGGATCATAGAACAGAATGCATTCTGGTGCATTAATTGCAGAAAACTAGTGTGCGCATACAGCATGTAATAAAGAAGGCAAATGGGATTTTGGAATAGTGGGGAGGTGTTGCTGCAATTGCACATGGCGTTAGTGAGACCACACCCGGAGTGTTGTGTATAATTTTTTTTTTTTGGTCCCCTTACTTGAAAATGGATGTAGTTGTATTGGAGACAGTTCAGAGGGCATTTGGTAAATTGATTCCAGAGGTAAGAGGTTTCTCTAGTGAAGACAGATTGAGCCGTTTAGGCCTACACACTGTAGTTTAGAAGAATGACAGGAGATCCGGTTAATACGTTTTGTCAGCTTTTCTAATTCAGCCTAAAATTTCTGGAGGTCATTGGGTGATTTTGTTCACTTCATGTAAGTAGTTTCTTGACAGTTACAAAGCAATATGACATCTTGGAGTTGCCTTACACGGAAAGTGGCAGGTTGTTCACCTTCAGTTGCATCGTCAAAGACGTTCCCTCCATAAGGTGAGAATTTGGGATGTACATTGTGTACTCTTCAAAGAGCACCGCTCATGTATCCTCAGGACTAAAATAGTCAGTACCCATATGCAGGAAGACCTGGACTACATCCATGCTTGGGCTGACAGTTGGCAAGTAATATTTATGCCAGGCAATGACCATCTCCATCAGGAAAGAATGTAACCATCATTCCTTGGCATTAAATGGCTTTAACATCACTGAATCCCCCATTACCAACATCGGGGGTGGTGGTGGTGGTGGTGGTCGTGGTCACCATTGCCCAGGAACTGATCTAGGCTAGCATACACATACTGTGATTGCAGGAGTAGGTCAGAGGTTAGGAATTCTGCAATGAGGAATTCAACATCAGTCTTTTCCCCAATCCAGTCCATTATCATCTAAAAGGTGCAAGTCTGGACTCTGATGAAATCATCTCCAGTTGCCTGGATGAATGCAGCTCCAGAGCTCCAACTCCAAAGCTTAACAAAATTCAGGACAAAGCAGACGCTTCAATGGCACTCTAACCACCACCGTCAGCATTCACTCACTTCAGCACAGTAAGGTGGCAGCAGTGTGTACCATCTATGAGATGCATTGCAATGACTCAACAAATCTCTTCCCACAGCACCCTCCAAACCTGTGTCCTCTACCAATTAGAAGACTAGGGCAGCAGATACATGGGAACATATCCACCTGCGAGTTCTATATTGCAATCGTAGTTGCTGGATCACAATTCTGGAATCCTTTTCCTCACAGCCCTGTGGATATACTTACATCGCAAGGTCTTCAACTCAAGAAAGCAGCTCATCACCACCTTCTCCAGGGCTCTTGGGAGTGATGATTAATGCTGATGTAGCCACCATGCCCACATTCCATGAATGAAATTTTTTTTAAAAGTGGCTGTTTTTCTGTGCCATCCATGTTGCTGAAGATCATAGCATGTTCTTTGAATCAGCTACCACCATTGCATGTTCCAATGTTAAACATTAAAGAGTGACCTGGTGAAAGGCAGGAGTGGTGGTGGCATAATGTTGATGTCACTGGGCTAGTAATCCAAAATGCCAAACTAATCTTATGTATACAACAAGAACAGAAATTGTTGGAGAAACTCAGCAGGTCTGACTGTGTGGGAAGAAAGCGGAGTTAATGTTTCGAATCTAATGACTATTCAACAGAACTGTTAATGATTAGGAAAATGTGGTCTTTATGCTGAAGCCAAATTTAGGGATTGTGTGGGGAAGGGGAAAGGTGAGTGGATATGTAGAGAGAGAGATGGCTGGTGATAAAATTTGAAGAAAATCTGAATTAAATGTTCTCGTAATGGAAACCTTTTAACCACTATGTATTCTTGTTTTTTTTAAAGTGTCTGGTTTACCAATGTTCTTTTTAGGCAAGAAAGCTGTCATTCTTGCCTAGTCTGGCCTAAGTGACTCCAGATCCACTGCAATGTGGTTGACACTTAACTGTGTATAATAAATACTGATCTAGACACTGATGCGCATTTCCCATGAATAATTTTATTTCAGAATGGTAAAATATAGTCTGACGTCACCAGTGTTAAATATCTCTTGGTTCATACTCATTTAGGACATGGACAAGACCATTTTGGACCCACCACTGCAGGCTTTGTCTTTGAACCCTGTTATACTCATTTGGCTTGTCTCCTCTCCAATTGGTTAACATTATCATATGTCAAGCATGTGTTGGTTCAGTTAAAATAGATTTTCGGCTCATTGCAGGCATCTTTCTGTTGGATTTCCTATTCAACTGGTGGCAATAGCTGACAACTTTGACACAACTTATGTTGCAGTTTATCTTGATTTCATTACTTTATCATATTATAATGTAAGATAGTTTGCGCAGAAATTTGACAACCATGCTGAATGAAATATATGTCTAGATAATCTATGGTGTTGATTTAAGGTATATCTTGGTCAGATCACTGAAAAAACTCCCCTGCTAGTTGAATAATTTTACAACCTTCTGACAATGCTGACAGGTCTTGATTTAATTCCTCGCTTGCAAGTCAATGCCTTCTGACAGTGCAGTATACCCTTACTGCCAACCCAGGTTGTGCGTTCGAGATGCTTGAAAAGGTTTGAATATTCAACCTTGAGCTTTGAGGATGAGCCAGAGTGCGTAGAATGCTTCGGTGCTGATTTGAATGTCTGTAGCTTTTCCCCCAACTTTTGAGGGATCATTTTAAAAATTGATTCATACTTAAGCAACCACTTTATTAAAAAATAGCGTAATTTGAAATCTATTTGAATTGAAAAAACATGTTCTAAGTGATAAATTTCTTACATGTTCCTATTTATCCTCTGATAGGCTGCTATGGAGTTGCTCCTGAGAAAGCAACTGATGACTGGATCTGTGCAAGGTGTGCAGCTAATGCTTTGGCAGCAGTAAGTACTTTTTGTTACCAGCCTGAGTGCTATAATGCAAAGCATGTCCACTTTCATGAGGAGCCCAAGAGTTGTGAAGTGGTCTGTTTGTTTTTGTAAATGCACAGTAATTTACATTGACCCATGGTGAACAGTTGTGCAGGAAGGAAAAAGAAGTATGCGGTCATTATTTTGTGCAAATTCTTAACTGAGGTACTTTCATGCTAGGGCATTGTTACGTTTGAGACCCTGGTATCTGATTAAGCAGATTAGACCTAATGGTTAAGGAGGGGTGTACCTCCATTGAAACAACAAATTCTTCTGCAGCTTGATGGAGAAATTGCGACGTGAGTGAGTTTCATGGCTACATTCTGGAATTTTGATTGAGAGTCTGAGAATAAGAGTCGGTCTCATCAGGGACCATAAGACGTGGAGCAGAAATTAGGCCATTCGGCCCATCAAGTCTGCTCCACCATTCAATCATGGCTGATAAGTTCCTCTCCTGCTTTCTTCCCGTAACCCTTGATCCCCTTGATAATCAAGAACCTACCTATCTCAGTCTTAAATGTACTAAATGACCTGGCCTCCACAGCCTTCTGTGGCAGTGAATTCCATAGATTCACCATACTCTGGCTGAAGAAGTTTCTCCTTATCTCCATTCGAAAAGGTCTTTCCTTTACTCTAAGGCTGTTCTCTCGGGTCCTAGTCTCTCCTACCAATGGAAGCTATTTTCCCAACATCCACTCTGTCTAGGCTGTTCAGTATTCTGTAAGTTTCAATTAGACACACCCTCCTCCTTCTGAACTCCAATGAGTATAGTCCCAGAGTCCTCAAATGTTCCTCGTATGTTAAGCTTTTCATTCCTGAGACCATTCTTGTGAACCTCCTCTGAACCCATTCCAGGACCAGTACATCCTTCCTGAGAGATGGGGCCCAAAACTGAACACAATACTCCAGATGTGGCCTGACCAGAGCCTTCTAAAGCCTCAGTAGTATATCCCTGCTTTTATATTCAAGTCCTCTCAAAAAATAAATGCCAACATTGCATTTGCCTTCCTGACTACTGACTCAACCTGCAGGTTTACCCTGAGAGATGAGAGATTTATTTGCCCAGAGTTATGAATCTTTGGAATTCTATATCTAGAGGACTGGGAACATACGTTCAAGATGAGAATTTTTTTGAATATTAAGTGAGTTGAGGAATGAAGTTAGGGTGGTAAGGTAGAGTTGAGATGTAATAAAATCATTATCTTTTTACTTGAATGGCAGAGCATATTTGAATGGCTGAATAATTGCCATCTTTCCCATTAAAATACAAAATCAGCAATGTAGAAGTAGTACAAGAAAATGTTTGAAGCCTTTTGCCTTTTAAACTTTAAGCATGCTTCTATGAATTTACATTTTTTTCCATCCACCATGCATACTGTATGTGAAATTGAAATTTGAATTTCTAGTTTGTTTAAATGTCTAAAACATTGAAGCACCAACCTGTTTGATTCTTGTGCTATGGTTATGTATAGTCCACAGTAATTTTATCAGTTGTGTACTGAAATGAAAACAAAATATGAAAGATGCTGTAAATCTAAAATCAAGCCAGAAAAGGCTGATAATACTCAGCAGTGTTAATATTTTAGATATGCCTTTTTCAACAGAACAATTTTTGACCTGTATTACAATTCCATTCATTCTCACAGGATTGTTGTCTATGTACCCTTCGGGGAGGAGCACTTCAGAAAACCACTGACAACAGGTCAGATCAACCAGTGGAACTGCACATTGTGCACTTTTAGTTTGTAAATGAAGTTAAATCATTAAAATGCACTTGAGCTTGCTAGTGAACATTCTGTTTGCCCCAGTTGGAACTACAATTTGTATTAAGTTGAAGTAATACTTATTTTTGAATGGAAGAATTAATGGGACTAAGTAATGAGATCAAGTTGATGTTCCTTGACGCACCAGGTCACCTGTTTATTTGCACCTGCTCAAAATCTACTTCCACTTGGTTTGTTGTTTCACTGAATCTTCCCAGTGCTCTGAAGTAGTTATTTTCAGTTAGGTGGTAGGAAACTGGTGTTACTACTATACACTGCAAAATCATCATTTGATTTTTTTGGGAGTCAAGGAAATACTTTCTGCTGGGCATGTTCGTTGGGCTAGTACTACCACTCCTGGCCCACTGCTTAGTGTGTGTATACCCACTACTGGGCATGCTGAGCACAATTATTCCCTCCCTGGAATTGGCAAGAAGGGCAAATGATTGGATGAGTTGACCCTGGAGAATGGCTTGCCTCTTTTTTTTTTTTTTGCCAACTAAACAACAATGTGCTGAATGGTCCATGGATAGCCTTCTAGATCTCCACCATTTTAAGGCTCTTAAATGGTCAATTAATGGCTTTCACACACCACTGACCCAGTTACTTGCCTTCCTACTAAGCAATAAAAGTGGCCGATTTGCTAACTGGAAAACCAGGTCAACCTGCCTGATTTGGGAGGGGCTTCATTTCCCTTGGGCAGGAGGGGGTCCAAGTGGTGTCACTAAATCCCCATAGCTTGAATCCCATGACATCTGGCAAAGCCTTCTCATAGTTCCTACCTTTGCAAGGTAGGGGGTCCAGCAATGATCTCCAGGACCCAGAAGCTGTCAGCCTCTGGTCTGCAACTTCTGGTGGGGAGGGACTTAGAATATCGAGGCTTGTGATTTGCTGAAATCTCACTGGCCAGCTGTTGGGTGCCTGATGTGAGCTTCATCTGGCAAATGTGGTATGGGGATGGGGAATTAGTCACCTCTGAAGATTGCTGCCCCAACTCTTGATCTATGGAACACTAAATCTTGACTGTTTTTCTTGATTTATTAAGTGCGATTCGTTGGTCTAGGGGTATGATTCTTGTGGGGGGTGGCACGGTGACTCAGTGGTTAGCACTGCTGTCTCTCAGCACCAGGGACCCAGGTTCGATTCCAGCCTCGGGTGACCGTTTGTGGAGTTTGCACGTTCTCGCCGTGTCTGCGTGGGTTTCCTCCGGGTGCTCTCGTTTCCTCCCACAGTCCAAAGATGTGCAGGTTAGGTGGATTGGCCATGCCAAATTGCCCACAGTGTCCAGGGATGTGTAGATTAGGTGGGTTAGATGTGGGGAAATCAGGGGTGGTGAGAATGGGTCTGGGTGGGATGGTCTTCAGAGAGGCAGTGTGGACTTGTTGGGCTGAATGGCCTGTTTCCACACTGTAGGGATTCTATGATACCTTTTTATCTAGGAAATGGTGTATAATCGCATGGTAACTGGTTGGCCATAGCAAACTGGTCTTAATTTATTTTATTAATCTGAGCCCTTGATCCAGGGCACTTTAAAGGATTATTGAATACTTGAAAGAAGGAGGGGGGGGGGTGCATTTTGCAAACTAGTCTTACTCCATATTTCAGAGAACCAGGTAACTCAAAGAGCCCTTTGTGTCATCATGCCTGAGCTGCTTCTTGAAAAGATAATCAACTTAACCCCAGTTTTTTTTGTCCATTCCCATTTAAAACACATTTGAAAGTTACTATTGAATCTTTCAGTACTACCCTTTTGCCCTTTCAGGCGATGCATCACAGGTTATCGTTATTCTGCATAGAAACAAAATCTCTTCCTTAAATCGCTGTCCTATCGTTATTGATCTTCATAACAGTGGAAGCAGTTTCTTCTTTTTTAACATTTGCCTGTCTGTTTAAATTTCCCATGGACTTTGTGACCTCCTGGAACTGATTCCAGCTTCTCATGATATCAATGTCCCTCATGTCTGGCTTCATTCTAGTGAATTGTGTGTACACCTTTTTCTAGGCTCTTAATGTCACCTTTGAAAAGTGATCACTAGAATTCAACATAAACCATTGGTTAGGCCTCAGCTAGAGTATTACCAGGGAATGACATAACTTTTTGCCCTGTTGAGCACTGGCCAAATCATAAAACGTGATGTGGGAGTAGCTACTCCCACTGATCTCCAGTTCAAACAGTCTTTTCACGACAGTTCTAAACCAAGCAGTTCAGTGATTGCATAATTCCAATGGTGGAAATTCATTTCACTTCCTCAGTTTGGTTCAGTAACTTCTACTAGCTTGCAAAATAATTGGGAAGGAACACCCATCTTGTGCCATGAAGGGATATGTTTTGTGATCTAATCAGAGGTATTTAGAAAGTTGTTGGAAATAAGCAGTATTGGAGAGATTTGCAATCAGGGTGTGAAGTGGAATAAGAGTGATGTGTTATGCAACAGTGTAAATTGCATCTCCCACAGAAAAAATCTTAAGTAATCTAGAAGTGGTAACATGTAAACTTACGCTAACAACCTGATGATTGTGCAAAGACACACCTGTCATTCATTTAGTCACTGGATCTATCCTATTTGACTACTACTTCTAAATATTATACAGGTGGGTACATCTGCTGTGTGCTGTTGCAGTGCAAGAGGTACGGTTTGTGAATGTTGCAGAACGCAGCCCTGTGGATGTCAGTCCAATACCACCACTACGCTGGAAACTGGTATGGAATCGTAAAATCAAAGTAACTTAATAAAATTTAAGTCGCAAAAGCAAAGTTCAAATGTACATTGGGAATTAATGCACTAATCAACTTCCTGTACTGTGCAGTGCCCCAAACAACCTTTTTAAATCCACAAAGCTGTCTTTTCTTTTTCTTTTGCCATGATGCATTTGGTTTACTCACCGTTACCTATATAAATTGGCCAGCATTATGCATTTCAGAATTCTGTTTTTAATGTGTTGTTGGGAAATAGCTAAGCCTGCATCATTACCTGTTCCTAAATTGCCTTTTGAAGGGAGTGGTGAGCTACCTGAATTGCTGCAATCAGTGGGGTGTAGGGACACCACAGTGCTGTTAGCAAGTTCCAGAATTTAGATCCAGACACAGTAAAGGAATGTTGATGTAGTTCCAAGTCAGGAATGTGTATGGTTTGGAGGGGAACTTGCAGGTGGCAGTGTTCTGTGCATCTTACACCCTTGACCTTCTAGATGATGGAGGTTGTGGTAGAGGTAGAGGTGCTGTTCAATTGGAGGAAGAATATGCCGAGCCACCTAAAAGCCATGTTATCTAAGCAAGATAACAATTTGATGTAAATTGTTTTCAGCTATGCTAAAAAGATGGTTATTTTATTGGTCACAAATTATTTTAAAAGAACAGAAATGTGCAGTAGTTGATGACCAACAGCCTTCTGAGGAAGAGTCACTGGACCTGAAAAGTTAACTGCTTTCTCTCCACAGACTGTTGAGTTTTATTCTAGCAATTTGTTTTTGTTTTTGTTTCTGTTTCTGATTTCTAGCACCCAGTTATAGAATCGTAGAGATATACAGCACGGAAACAGACCCTTCAGTCCAACTCGTCCACACCAACCAGACATCCTAAATAAATCTAGTCCCATTTTGCCAGCACTTGCCCCATATCCCACTTAAACCCCTTCCTGTTCATATACCCATGCCTCTTAAATGTTGTAATTGTACCAGTCTCCACCACTTCCTCTGGCAGTTTATTCCATACATGCCCCCCCCCCCGCGTGAAAAAGTTGCCCCGTAAGTCTTTTTTATATCTTTCCACTCTCACCTTAAACCTATGCCCTCTTGCTTTAGACTCTCCTACCCTAGGGAAAAGACCTTGTCTATTCACCCAGTCCATGTCCCACGTGATTTTATAAACCTAAATAAGGTCACCCCTCAGCCTCTGCTCCAGGGGAAATAGCCCCATTCTATTCAGGCTCTCCCTATAGCTCAAACCCTCCAACCCTGGCAACATCCTTGTAAATCTTTTCTGAACCCTTTTCAAGTTTCACAACATATTTCCTACAGCAGGGAGACTGGAATTGAACACAGTATTCCAATTGTAGCCTAACCAATGTCCTGTACAGCTGCCACATGACCTCCCAAATCCTATACTCTATACACTGACCAATAAAGGCAAGCATACCAAATGCCGCCTTCACTATCCTGCCTAGCTGCAACACCACTTGCAAGGAACAATGAACCTGCACTCCAAGGTCTCTTTGTTCACCAACAATCCCCCAGACCTTTACCATTAAGTGTATAAGTCCTGCTCTGATTTTCTTTTCCAAAATGCAGCACCTCACGCTTATCCAAATGAAGCTTTATCTTTCACGCCTTGGCCCATTGGCCCACCTGATCAAGATCCTGTTGTACTCTTGAGTTTTTTTTTGTTTAATGAGAGATCATAGATCATAGTTTGCTTTGAGTTCAGAAACAACAACTGCTGAGACAAACTGATATGTAGTAGTTAACTGCTGCCCTTTATCTGAAATCAGTTCAAAAGGTAAGTTTCTGCAATTTTTTTTCCCCATCCCTTTGGCAGTTTCAAATTTTGAATCAAAATGTCATGCATCCAAGCTCCTCTTCAGAATTTGAGTCCAGGTTTTAAGCTAACATTTCAGTGCAGTACATACTGACTGTTAAGCTGAGACCCTATTTGACATTGAGTACAGGTTGTAGACAAAAAATTGCAGAGCAATTTAATAAATGAAATAATCACTTCTTCTGGTCTTAAGAAATCGTATTTAAATGGAAGATATTGTTCTATGTCTTTACAACATCCTGTGTCCCTGACAACAGTTTTTCATCAACAACAACCATCACCAAATGTACTGACAGATCATTGATCTTGTTTGTTACTCCTTGTGGAACGTTATTGCATGCAGTTTTCCTGCGATGCTCCCTTGTATAAAGAGAATGTAATTGGCAGCTGTAAATGAAGACGGGAAAAGTAGTTTACGTATTTAGGTTTAGGCAAGTGATATCATCTTATCTGGATACTTTCAATTATTCAATCGGTCCATCTGTCCTTCCCATAAGCATATTTCTTTTTTGATTTTAATTCATCTTAATTTATTTACTTCACTTTTTAAATTCTATTTATACCTCCCTTTCCCTCCATTTTTCATTGTTTTATTAGACGTAGCTTTGGATTAAAAGTGCTACAATTTCATAATCTGATTTTCGATGATCCTTTACAGAAGATGAAGAGAGCTGCTTTCAGTTGTTAGAAATGTGGTGAGATTTTGAATCATCAGTACAAAATCAAGGAACAGGAGTATCAAAACAATTTCTTATTACTCTCCTGTTTGCCAAAAAGTAATATGTAGAACCAAATAAAGTTATTGATGGTATGGATATGTGTGAAAAAAACAAAGATGGTGCAAATAAAAATAAATTTCTAAAAATAAATTAATTTATAAGTTTACATTGAGTGTAATGCAGATGTGAGTTTGTTTCTGAGGCAAATTATAAAGTGCACTAAAAATGTGTCTGGTATACATGTAAGCAAATTGACCAGTGTTACCCAAATACGCCAACCTTGCAATTGTGTGCTTTATCAATGATGTAACTGTGATCCTTTCAGAAATGCTTCTACTGTAAGAAACGAATGAAGAAGACTGGTGGTTGCTGTGTGCAATGCTCGCATGGCCGTTGTCCCACTTCCTTTCATGCGACCTGCGCCCAAGCCGCTGGTGTGATCATGCAGCCTGATGACTGGCCATTTGTAGTCTTTATCACTTGTTGCAGGCACAAAACACCCAACCAGGCAGAGGTAGGCTATGTTCAAGAGTAGCAACTGTTAATTCATGCTCAATGGATTGATTACTCCACACTCCCTACTTGTCAAATAAATTTATGTCCAGCATTGTTTCCAACTGTATTTGAGGCAAAAGGAGGGAATGCAATGTTAGTTCATTAGACTAATACCTTTAATTGTAGAATTGTCTTTTGAGGATACTCAGTCTGCATTATCCAGTTTCAAAGAATGAGATGTATCTTCATTGGAAACGTACAGAATTCTTACAGGGCCTGATAGTTTGGATGTGGATAATGTGTTTCCCCCCCACCTAGTGAGTCTAAAACCAGGGGACATAATCTTACAATGAGTGCTAGGCCATTTAAGATGGATGAGGAGGAAAGTCTTCATTGAGGATGATGAATCTTTGGAATTGTCTAACCCAGAAGGCTGTGGAGCATGTTTAAGACAGAAATTGATAGATTTCTGGAGGCTAGTGACATGAAAGAATATGGAGATCATGTGGGAGAGTAGCATTGAAGCAGCTGTTGGGACCTGTTGCAAGGGTATCAGTAGGTTTATTGAGGAATTTAGAGGTGACAGACAGTGAGCCTAGAAAATGCATGTGTGTGAGAAAGAAAGAGGTAAACTCCATGCTAAAGAGAGCTGCTGTTAGCTATTTGATTAAAAGAATTGAACTACACGAGTTCTGTATATTTGAAGGACAGAGAAATCCAAGAACAGTTGAATAGTTTTGCGTTGTTGAGTCTCAGAAGAAGCCATGTTATTAAGGGTTAAGTGCTTCAATCTGCGTATAGATTGGGCAAATCAAACTTAGTAGCAGTACTGTAGAGGAGGAATTTTTGGAGTGTATACAGTAAAGTTCATGAATCAATATTTTGAAGAACCAACTAGAGAAAAGGCCATCCTTGTCTTTGTTATTGTGTAGCAAGGAATGAATAGTGTGTGGCCTCTTGGGAAAGAGTGACCACAAAATTAAAATGGAGAGTGACATTGTTGTTTCTGAGACTATGGCCTTGAAGTTCAATAAAGAAAATAGCAATGGATGAGGTGTGAGCTAGCTGCGATAAATTTGAGTATTGTTGTTTAAGAGAAGGACTGTAGCTCAATGGCAAACATTTAAAGAGCACATGGACAAACTTCAAAAATTACTTCTCCCAGTCTGGTGTAAATATGAAACGGGAAATGTGGTCAAAGGCAGGCTAACAAAGGAAATTATGGATAGTATCAAATCCAGGGTAGAGGCATTATAAATTGGACAAAAAAAACTTGAGGATTGAGAACCGGTTAGATTCCAGCAATGTGAGGCAAAGACTGATTTGAGAGGGCAAAAATAGAGGATGAAAGTAAGCTTGCGGACAACATACAAACAAATAGTAAAAGCTTCTGTAGGTATGTGAAGAAAAAAAGGATTAATCAAGATGAATATAGGTTCCCTATGGTCAGAAACAGGAATTTAAATGGGAAATCATCAAGATAGACAAACTAAATAAACACTTTAGTTGTGTCTTCACAAAGGAAGACACCGATAACTCTCAAAAAAATGGTGTGGTGGTGAACAGAGTCGAATGGAAAGGAGGAATTGATAAATATTAATTTCCCCAACACCATTTCCCTACTAACCAGATTAAAAGCAGATAAATCCGTAAGGCCTAATAACCTTCATCTCGCAGTACTTGAAGTGACCTAGAAGTGGCAGATGTACTAGTGGTCATCTTTCAAAATTCTATGGACTCTAGAACCATTCCTGTGGATTGGAGGGTAGCTGATGTAACCCCGCTACTTAAGAAGAGAGGCACAGAAAATTAGAGAATTACAGACTTGCTAGCTTGACATAGCAGTGGGGGGGAAATGCTTAACTCTGTTATAAAAGATGTAATAGCAAAGCACCTGGAAGATAGGACAAAGTCAGCATGGACCTATGAAGGGGAAGTCATGCTTGAAAAATCTGCTGGAATTATTTTTAAGGATGTAACTGGTAAAATGGATAAGAATAAGCCAGTGGCTTATCTTTATCCATTCAGAAGGCTTTCAGTAAGCTTCCACATAACGAATTAGCATGTAAGATTCAAGGACGTGGGGTTAGAGATCATGTACTTAAACAGAATGAGAACTGAAACAGGTGGTCTGGCAGTACCTGTGGAGAGAAAGCAGAATTAATGTTTTGGGTCTGGTGACCCTCTTCAGAACTGGACCCATAACGTTAATTCTGCTTTTTCTCTACAAACACTACCAGACTTGCTGACTTTTTCCAGCAGTTTCTGTTTGATTTCCAACGTGTGCAATTCTTTGGGTTTTTTCTATTCAAATTGAGAATTGGTTCATGGACAGGAAGCAAGAGTAGGAATGGATGTCTTTTTCCAAGTGGCAGGCAGTAATGAGTGGGGTTCTGTGGGGATAAGGGCTTGAACCTTGCCAGTAAGCTTGCAGATGAGACAAAGATGCGAGGAGGATGTAGAGAAGCTTCACTGTGATTTGGACAAGTTGAGTGAGTGGGCAGATACATGGCAAAGGCAATATAATGTCAATAAATGTGATGTTATCCACTTCAGCAAGAGCAGATAGATTAATAATTGAATGCCAATAGATTGTACCCCATGAGACCTGGGTGTCCTTGTACACCAGTTGCTGAAAGTAAACATGCACGTGCAGCAGGCAGTGAGGAAGGCAAATGGTATGTTGGCCTTCAAAGCAAGAGGATTAGAGTACAGGAGCAGGAATGCCTTGCTTCGACTGCATAGAGCCTTGGTGGAACCACCCCTAGAGTATGATTTGGTGTTTTGGTCTCCTTTTATCTGAGGAAGGATGTTCTTGCAACAAAGGTTTACCAGACAGATTCCTGGAATGGCAGGATTGACGGACAGGGAGAGACTGGCTCAATTGAAACTATATTCACTGGAATTTAGAAGAATGAAGCGGATCTTATAGGAACCTATAAAATTCTAACTGGAATAAATAGGGTAAATGCAGGAAGGATGTTCTCAATGTCCACGGAGTTCTAAACCAAAGATCACAGTTTAAGGATGAGGGGTATGTCTTTTGGGACAGAGATGGGGTGAAGTTTCTTCATCCAGAAGGAGGTGAGTTTATGGAATTCTCTGCCACTGAAAACAGTTGAAGTCAAAACATTGAATGTTTTCAGGAAGAAGATAGATACCTTTCTTGAGGTGAAAGGGATCAAAGAATATGGTGAGAAAATTAGAAAGGGTACTGTGTTGAATGATCAGCCATCATTGTATTGAATGGCAGAGCAGGCTTGAAGGGCTAACTGTCTCTGAACTGCTTGTAGTGCAGTTGCACTTTTTTTTTTAAAAATGTAAGCGGACCGAAACTGAACAAAACTCCAGGCATGGTCTCTCCCAATGCCTTGTACAACTGGAGAAAACTTTTTTTCCAATCCTTGAATCTCATTGGCTATCTGTTCTCCCAGGTCCCAGATACCCCACTTCCTTTGGTGTATTGTTGCAACTTTGCATTTGAGCAACTTTGGTAATTTTTGATCTCCGGAATGAGGAAGTTATTCTCTGAGGCTGTGTAAATTAGACCAATATTTTCTGTTTAGAAGAATTAGTGATCTCATTGCAACTTAGAATCTGAAAGGACCTGACAAAGTTCAGTCAAAGAAGTTGTTTCCGTTGGGGAATTTGCAACGCTGGCATGGTCTCAGCGAAAGGGACCAATCATTTAGGATGAGATGAACAGAAATTGACATTTTTGGTGTCTACAGTAGACAGATGTGAAGAGGAGGTTGAAAAATGGAGTTGAGCTCGAGATCTGCCTAAATCATATCAAATGGGCTGAGTGGGTTCAACAGTATGTTTACCATTTTTAAAAAAGTAGGAGCCATTTGGTCCTTTGAGCCTGCTGTAACATTCAATAAGATCATGGTTGATCCAACTTTGTCACGACCACTTTCCTGCCCTTTACCCATAACCCTTGATTTTCCTCTTCTGATAAAGAATCTATCTATCTCTGCCTTAAATATACCTAGAACTCCCCCACAGCTCTCTGTGGTAAGATGTTCCAAAGACACTCCATCCTCGAATGAAGAAATTCCTCCTCATCTCAGACTTGCATTAGTGCCAATGGGACCGTGATCAGATCGACAGTGGAACGAGGAGTGGCAGATGGAGTTTAATTTAGATAAATGTGAGGTGTTGTATCTTGGTAAAGCAAATCAGGGCAGGACTTGTGTAGTTAATAGTAGGGCTCTGGGGGATATTACCAGGTAAAGAGACCTAGGAGTGCAGGTGCATCATTCCTTGAAAGTGGAGTCGTGGGTAGACAGGACAATGAGGAAGGCTTTTGGCATGCTTGCCTTCATTGGTCAGAATATCGTATAGAAATTGAGATGTCATGTTGCGGCTGTACAGGGCATTGGTGAGGCCTCTTTTAGAATACTATGTACAATTCTGGTCTCTTGCTATAGGAAGGATTTTCTTAAACTTGAGAGGGTGCAGAAAAGATTTACAAGGATTTTGCTGGGCCTGGAGGGTTGAGTTATAGGGAGAGCCTGAATAGTCTTGAGCTTTTCTTCCCCTGCAGTGTCAGAGGCTGAGGGTTGACCTTAGAGGTTTAGAAAATCATAATGGGCATGGATTGGGCGAATAGCCAAGGTCTTTTTCTGAAGGAAGGGGAGTCCAAAACTAGGGGACAGAGGTTTAAAGTGAGAGGAGAAAGATTTTAAAAAGGACCTCATGGGTAACTTTTTCAAACAGAAGGTGGAGCGTGTATGGAATGAACTGCCAGAGAAAGTGGTGGAGGCAGCATTTGAAAGGCATCTGGATGGGAATGTGAATAGGAAGGGTTTAGAGGGATATGGGCCAAATGCTGGCAAATGGGACTAGGTCAGATTAGGATGGCAGGTCAGCGCAGATGATTGAAGGGCCTTTTCCTTGCTGTATGACTCTATGACTCTGTATTGTTAATATGGTATTCAAAGTAGCTTCATATGCTATTGAATATTTTACATTCAGAATGAATGAATAAAAACTATGTTTTTAGAAGATTCTGATTTTACTTTCCACAGCGTGCCAAATTAGCTTTGAATGATATTGAAATTGGGCAAAAAGTCATCTCAAAGCACAAGAATGGACGCTTTTACCAGTGTGAGGTGGTAGGATTGACTAAAGAAACATTCTATGAAGTGAATTTTGATGATGGATCCTTCAGTGACAATTTGTATCCAGAGGATATTGTGGTAGGTGGGAAGTTTTTCCAATACATTTCTGAAAAATATTTTTGCCTGAAATTTAATACAATTTTCATGACGTGTAAAGTTTTTAATCTGCTGTTCGCACAATTCTCATATCACTATAATGAATCAGCATCTTGAATTGTTTACTGAAAATTTTCCTGATGTCTCAATAAATATTGGGAATTTTTGAGTTTGGTCATAAGCAGGTTTCTGTGGTGCTTCTATTCAGCTTTTGTATTATTATCATGAAACTACTACACCGATAACAATATTAGGTGGGTGTCCATTGTACCTGTTTCATGCCATTGAAATGAAGACAATTCAATGTTCTTCCACTGAAGAATATTTTGATATAAATGTTGCATTATAATATTACTTTTCACCTAATGCCAATTAAATTTACATTGTTCTAAAGTTGAACCTAGACAACTCCACTCGGGTAGAAATCTAATTCTTGTATTTGCTGCTGATTTTCAGAGCCGGGACTGCCTTAGTTTGGGACCCCCTGCAGGGGGAGAGGTTGTACAAGTGAGATGGACTGATGGTCTGGTTTATGGGGCCCAATTTGTAGCATCACATGTTATACAGCTCTATCAGGTATGAAATAGGGTATAGTGTATTGTGTGTACAGTAATAAGCCTTAAGTATTAATGTTTGTGTGTGTTTCAACCTTTTGGTGCTCAGGATAGTTATTGTGGAATACTTTGGTGTCTAGTCCAAACTAGTCATTTGGATTAGAAATAAGCTGCAAAGCTGAATTCGTGTGAATCATTTTAAGCAGTTGACATGCAACGGATATCGACTGTATGTGTTGAGATTGGTGACATTCATAGAAAATACTTTCTCCCCTTGGCTAGACAGCACCCTTTAAATATTTGTCAAACTAATATATTACATGGTATACCTCCTTTAAAGCAATTAGTTCAGTAATTCAGATCTATTTATGTAAGATTAACATTGGATGCTGAATTTTTGACTAAAGAAAATGAGTTGTGGTCAGAACAGGTTTTCTGAACTTTTTTGTTCCCAGTCCCTTGGTCCTTGATACAGAAACTTGGCACATGCACAAATACGTGTATTATAAAGCAAGTATTCAGAAGTGAAAGTATGTTATATGTGGCTTTCCGTATGGAGAGGTGATGGCCTAGTGCTATTATCACTAGACTATTAATTCAGAGATCCAGATAATATTCTGTGCACCCAGATTCAGATAGAACTTGAATTCAATTTAAAAAAAGGTCTGGAATTGCAAGTCTAATGATGACCATGAAATTGTTGATTGTCCAAAAACAATCTGGTTCATTAAAGTCCATTTTTAGGGAAGGAAACTGCTGTCGTACTTGTTCTGGCTGCATGAGACCTGAGACCCAAGACCCACGACCCACATCAATATAGTTGACTCTTAACTGCCCTCAGGCAGTTAGGGGTTAGCAACAAATGCTAGTCTAGCCAGAAACACCCATATCCTGTGAATGTCTTTTGTTTTTAAAATCTCTCTTGTTTTTGTACATGAATTACAGGAAGTTAAAATGCAGGTCTGGCAAATAACTAGGAAAGCTTTTATGACAAAGTGACTGCAGCATAAGAATGAAGACATTTTGCTGCAGTTGCACAAGGTTTTGGTGGGACCATACCTGGAGCACTGCAGAGCTTTAGTCTCTAACTAAGGAAGAATATAGTGACTTTAGAAGAAGTTCACTAACAATTTACTAGGTGGATTCCTCGGATTCAAGGACAAGAAATTAAGTAGATTGTCTTTATTTCCCAAATTCTTAAAAAAAAAAAAAAATTTAATTGAAATTTAGAAATTTTGCAAGGAACTTGGCAAATGTTGAAAGGATGTGCCTGCTGGCAGTGGAGCCTTGAACTAGGGTAAGGTCTATCATTGGGGGAAGGGTAATTACAATTCTGTTAGGTAAGAATTGGGTAACATAAATTGGGAACAGATGCTGTCAGGGAAGAGCACGATTGAAATGTGGAGTTTGTTTGTTTGTTTAAGGAATGCATACTGCACGTGCTCGAAATGTTTGTCCCTAGCAGGCAGGGAGGATGCGGTTGAGTGAGGGAGCCTTGGTTCTCGAGAGAGGTCGAACGACTGGTTAAGAGGAAGAAGGATGCTTATGTAAGATTTAGGAAACAAGGAACGGAAAAGGCTCTAGAGGGATACAAGTTATCCAGGAAGGAGCTGAAGAAAGAGCTTAGAGCTATAAGGGTCATGAGAAAACCTTGGCAGATAGGATCAAGGAAAACTCCAAGGCTTTTTACACGTACGTGAGGAATAAGAGAATGACCAGAGAAAGGGTAGGGCTGATCAAGAATCGTAAAGGGAATTTGTGCACGGATCCTAAAGAGATAGGAGAAGTCCTTTAATGAATACTCTTCTTCAGTATTCACAACTAAGAGGGACCTAGTTGTAGAGGAGGACAGTGTGAAACAGGTTGGTAGGCTAGAGAAGGTTGATGTTAGTAAGGAAGACGTGCTAGGAATTTTGAGGAAGTTGAAGATGGATAAGTCCCCAGGCCTGATGGGATTTATCCAAGGATTCTATGGGAAGCGAGGGAAGAGATCGCAGGGCCTTTGGCGATGATCGTTTCATCCTCACTGTCCACGGGTATAGTGCCGGAAGATTGGAGAGAGGCAAACGTCATTCCCTTGTTCAAAAAAGGGAATAGGGATAACCCCGGAAATTACAGGCCAGTTAGTCTTACGTCCGTGGTGGGCAAATTATTGGAAAGGGCTCTAAGAGATAAGATTTATGATCGCTTGGAAAGGCACAGTTTGATTCGTGATAGTCAGCATGGAATTGTGAGGGCTAGATCATGCCCCACAAACCTTATTGAATTCTTTGAAGAGGTGACCAAACACATGGATGAAGGTAGAGCAGTGGATGTGGTATACATGGATTTAAGTAAGGTGTTTGATAAGGTTCCCCATGGTAGGCTCATGCAGAAGGTAAGGAGGCATGGGATAGGGGGAAATGTGGCAGATTGGATTCAGAATTGACTGACCCTTAGAAGACAAAAGGGTGGTAGTGGACGGAAAATATTCAACATGGTGTTCAGTTACAAGTGTCCTGGGTCCTCTTCTATTTGCGATTTTTGTAAATGATTTGGATGAAGGAGTGGAAGGGTGGATTAGTAAGTTCGCGTACGATACGAAGATGGGTCGCATTGTGGATAGTGCAGAGGGCTGTTCTAGGTTACAAAGGGACATTGATAGGATGCAGAGCTGGGCTGAGAAGTGGCAGATGGAGTTTAACCCTGAAAATTGTGCGGTGATTCAGTTTGGAAGGACAGATTTGAAAGCAGAACACAGGGTTAACGGAAAGATTCTTGGCAGTGTGGAGGAGCAGAGGGATCTTGGGGTTCATGTCCACAGTTCCCTGAAAGCTGCCACCCAGGTGGATAGAGTCGTTAAGAAGGCATACGGTGTGTTAGCTTTCATTAATAGAGGGATTGAGTTCAAGAGCCGTGAAGTTATGCTCCAGCTATACAAAAGCCTAGTTCGGCCACATCTGGATATTGTGTCCAGTTCTGGTCGCCTCATTACAGGAAAGATGTGCAGGCGTTGGAAAAGGTGCAGAGGAGATTTGCCAGGATGTTGCCTGGAATGGAGGGAAGGTCTTGCGAGGAAAGGTTGAGAGAGCTAGGGCTTTTCTCTTTAGAACGACGAAGGATGAGAGGTGACTTGATAGAGATGTACAAAATGATCAGAGGTATAGATAGAGTGGACAGCCAGAGACTTTTTCCTAGGGTGGAGGTAGCTACTACGAGGGGGCATAATTTTAAAGTGACTGGAGGTAGATACAGAGGAGACGTCAGAGGTAGGTTCTTTACTCGGAGTGGTCGGGGCGTGGAATGCATTGCCGGAGAGGGTAGTGGAGTCGGCCTCATTAGGGGCATTTAAGCGGGTATTAGATAGGCATATGAATGATAGTATAAGGTAGCCGTGGAGGTTAGATAGACCTTAGGATTAGGGTAAAAGTTCGGCACAACATCATGGGCCAAAGAGCCTGCTGTACTGTTCTATGTTCTAACTAGGGATCACAGTCTCTTAATAAGGACTTGGTGATTTTAATAAAGAGCTGTAAATCTTTGGTGTTCTCTACCCCAGTGTATTTTTGGACACAGTGAGTTGAGATACTGCAGGAAAGAATAATGTGGTCATTTTGGATTGCCAAACAGGACCAAATGGCCGCCTGCCTCAATGTAGTTGTTTTATCTGTTCATTCCTGAGTTGAATTTTTTTAACTGGTTTGACACATCATTTCCCAGTGCAACCTGACTCTATTTTGCCTATCCATTCAGGTTGAATTTGAAGATGCATCTCAACTAATGGTGAAAAGAGAAGATGTGTACACTCTTAATGAGGAACTCCCCAAAAAAGTAAAGTCCAGGCTGGTTAGTATTTCATCATTTTGCTATTACATGCCACCCACCAGAGTACACTTCTTACTTTTCTGGATCCTGCTCAATTTCTTTAACCCCCGAAAGGAAATTAATAACTGTCTAATGATTTTCCGGCATGTACAATATTTTGCCTTTATTGAAATGTGTATACTTGGGAGTAGAACACTCAGTCCTTGGAGCCTGCTCCATCATTTTGCAAGGATCATGGCTGATCTGAATGTAACCTCAGATTTGCATTTCAGCTACCCTGATAACCTTTCACCACTTGCTGAACGCTTATTCATCTACGCCTTGGATATTCAAGGTCTCTACTTCCTCCATCTTTTCAGAAAGAGAGTTCTGAAATCGCTCAACCCTCCAAGAAATTTGTCTCATCTCTGCATTAAATGTGCAACTCTGATTTTAAACAGTGATCTCTAGATGCCAATTCACCCACAAGAAGAAACAATTTTATGGAAATATTCATCCATAAATCCAGTAAAGGGAACATTGATGTGCTCTACGTTGGCCTGGCAAGAATTATTGCTTATCCCTAATTGCCCTTGACGCTGTGGTGGTATGCTGCTTTCTTGAACCATTGATTTAAAAACTTACTAGCCATACCTCCTGTATTCACACCCAAATCATTTATATAAAATGACGAAAAGCAGTGGACCCAGCTCTGATACTTGTGGCACACTGCTGGTCACAGATCTCCAGTCCAGAAAACAACCCTCCTCCTCCACCCTCTCTTGCCGTCAAGCTAATTTTGTATCCAATTGACAAACTCTCCCTGAATCCCATGTGATTTAACTTTACTTATCAGTGTACCGTGTAAAACCTTGTCAAAGGCATTACTAAAGTCCATGTCTACTGCTCTGCTCTCATCAATCTTTTGGTTACATCGTCCAAAAAACTCAAATTTGAGACAAATTTTTGATTTCCCATGCACACGGCCATACTCATTATCTCTAATCAGGCCTTGCCTCTACAAAAGCATGTAAATTCTGTCTTTTAGAATTTCCACCAACAGTTTACCCACTACTGATGTCAGACTCACCAGATGATAGTTCTCAGGCTTCTCCTTATAATGTTCCTTAATTAATAAAAGCACAATGTTAGTCACCGTCCAGTCCTCTGGTACCGTGCCTGTGGTTATAAATGATGCGAACATTTCTGCTGGGGGGCCCACTATTTCTTCCACAACTTCCCACATCATCCTGGGATACACTTGATCAGGTCCCAAAGATTTTATCCACTTTTTTTTTTTTTTTAAGACCACCTTTTCCGTCGTGAGAATTTTTTTTCAAGACAATACTATTTCCCAGAGTCCTTCCTCCAGAGGGTTATTTGATTGTCACAACTGAATGTGGCAGGACTGCAGAGATTAGATTTGATCTGTTGGTTGTGAGGTCACCCAGCTCTGTCTATCACTTGCTACTTGTGCTGATTGGCACACAACTAGTCCTATTTGGTAGCTTCACCAGGTTAACACCTCATTTTTAGATATGACTGGTGTTGCTCCTGGCATGCCCTTGTGCACTCCCCACTGAACTAGGGTTGATTCCCTGGATAGATGGTAATGGTTGAGAAGGGGATTATGCTGGGCCATGAGGTTACAAGTTGTGCTGGAGTACAATTCTCCTGTTTGCCCACAGCGCCTCATGGATGCCCTGTCTTCAGTTGCTAGATCTGTTTGAAGTCTGTCTCGTTTAGCTGGACGGTATGTGAATGTGGGACTTTGTCTCCACAAGGACTGTACAGTGGTCACTCTTAACAGTACTGTCATGGACAGATGCACCTGCAGTCAGCAGGTTGGTAAAAGACCAGAAGACAGAGGAGGAGAAATTAAGCCATTCAGCCCATTGAGTCTGCTCCACTATTCAATCATGGCTGATAAGTTTCTCAATCCCATTCTCTCATCTTCTCCCCATAACCCTTGATCCCCTTGACAATCAAGAACCTATCTATCTCTGTCTTGAATATATTCGATGACCTGGCTTCCACAGCCTTCTGTGGCAGTGAATTCCACAGATTCACCACTCTGGCTGAAGAAGTTTCTCCTCATCTCTGTTCTAAAAGGTCTCCCCTTTACTCTAAGGCTGTGCCCTCAGGTCCTAGTCTCTCCTTCCCAGCATCCACTCTGTCCAGGCCATTCAGTATTATCTAAGTTTCAATTAGATCCGCCCTCATCCTTCTAAATTTCATTGAGCATAGACCCAGAGTCCTCAAACGTTCCTCATATGTTAAGCTTTTCATTCCTAGCACCATTCTCGTGAACCTTCTCTGAACCCGCTCCAGGGCCATTACAACTTTCTTGAGATATGGGGCCCAAAACTGCGCACACTGCACCAAATGTGGCCTGACCACAGCCTTATAAAGCCTCAGTAGTACATCCCTGCTTTTATATTCAAGTCCTCTCAAAATAAATGCCAACGTTGCATTTGCCTTCCTGACTACTGACTCAACCTGCAAGTTTATCTTGAGAGAATCCTGGACTAGAACTCCCAAGTCTCTTTGCACTTCAGATTTCTGAATTTTCTCCCCATTTAGAAAATAGTCCATGCTTCTATTCTTCTTACCAAAGTGCATGACCTCACACTTTCCCACATTGTACTCCATCTGCCACTGCTTTGCCCACTCTCCTAACTTGTCTAAATCCTTCTGCAGCCTCCCCGCATCCTCAGTACGATCTGTCCCTCTACCTATCTTTGTGTAGGATGAGGTCAAGAATATTTTTCCCTCTTGTTGGTTCTTTGACCACCTCCTGCAGACCCAGTTTAGTAGCTATGCCTTTTAGGACCTGATGACCCTGATCAGTAGTGCTGCTGCTAAGCTACTGGTGGTGGTGGCTTTCGGAAATCCTCCACCCAGAGTGCATTTGCATCCTTGCCACTCTGTGCTTCCCCCAAGTGTTATTCAGCTTGAGGGAATGCTGATTCATCAGCCGAGGGTGAACATTGCATGGTAATCAGCAGAAGCTTCCTTGCCCAAGTTAAACTAAAGCCATGAGACTTCATGGGGTCCAGTCAATGTTGAGGACTCACAGCAACTCCCTCCTGACAGTATACCACTGTGCCACCACCTGTGCTGGATCTGTCCTTCCAGTGGACAGAACGTATCCAGGGATCATGATGGTGATGTCTGGGACATTGTCAGGCATGTTTCCATGAGTATGACTGTCATGCTATTACTTGAGTCTTCTGTTGGACAATCTCCCAGTTTTGGCACGATACCCCAGATGTTAGCAACGGAAGACTTTGTAGGATCGACAGGGCTGTTTCTGCCGTTGTCTTTTCCAGTGCCTAGGCTGAAGTCAGGTTGTCTGTCCAGTTTCACTTCTTTCTTGAGACTTCGTAGCAATTGATACAACCGATTGACTTGCTAGGCCATTTCAGAGGGCAGTTGAGAGTCAGCCCCATTGCTGTGGCACTGGAGTCACATGCAGGCCAGATGAGGTGAGGACGGCAGATTTACTTCCCTGAAAGACATTAGTGGACTCATCCAGGCAAGTAAAGGATATTCCATATATTTCTGGCTTGTGCCTTTTAGGTGGCAGACGGGGTTTTTAGAGTCAGAAGGCTAGTTACTCCCTACACGATTCCAATCCTCTGACCTGCTGTTGTAGCCACAGTTTATCTGGATAGTCCAATTCAATTTCTGGTTAGTGGTGTTCCCCATGATGTTCATAGTGGGGATTCATCGATGATCATTGAAAGTGATAGGGCCTGGGACACTACCCTCAGGAGCTCTTGCAGTAATGACCTGGAGCTGCGTGGAGTGACCTCTAACAACCATAACTGTCTTCCTTTTTGCTGTGTATGACTCCAGCCAGTGGAGACTTTTCACTGTGATTCTATTTTGGGGTTCCTTGAAGCTGTACATGGTCAAATGTGGTCCCCTTGACTTGGAATCACAGAGTCCCTACAGTGTGGAAGCAGGCCATTCAGCCCATCTAGTTCACACTGACCCTCTGAAGAGCATTCTCCAACCCCTTGCCCTATCCCTCTAACCTTGTGTTTTCCTATAGCTAGTCTGCCGAGCCTGCATATCCCTGGGCACTATGGACAATTTGGCATGTTCAGTCCCCCTAACCTGCACATCTTAAGACTTCTCGACTTCAGTTTTGTAATTTGTGTTTGAACCAAGGCAATAAAGAGGTCATGTCCTCAAGGACCTTGATGAAACCCAAACTGAGCATCAGAGAGCAGGTTATTACTGGATAGCACTGTTTAAGACTGCTTCAATCGCTTTGGTAATTGAGAAGACTGGCTGACAGGGTTGTTCTGTTCTGTATATTGTACAGATTACAGTTTCCAAATTAATGTGTAGATGTCAGTGTTATAGCTGTGCTGGATTAGCTTGGCTACAGCCACAGCAAGTTCTGGAGCACAAACTTCAGGGCTATTGCTGGAATTTTGTCAGGGCCCATAGCCTTATGATAGGCAGTACATTCAGCCATTTCTTGATATGGTCATTGTGGAGTCAATCGAATTGGCTGAAGGCAAGCATTGTGATGCTAGAGATCTCCAGAGGAGGCCAAGATGGATCATCCACTTGGTACTTCAGGCTGAAAATTGTTGCAAGTGCTTCAGCCTCCTCTTGTACTCCCCATCATTGAGGATGGGATGTTTGTGGACTCTGTTCATTCCGTGAGCCCTAATGAGGTGGCCAAGTACAAGTCAATGTCTTTCTTTCTCCCTTTTAAACCACCCCTGCCCCCCTCCCCCACCAAATAAATTGTGGTTTTTAACTGATGTTAAAACTATTCACTTATTGTTATTTTCACTTGTGAAGGAGTAATACTGTATGTGAACATTTACCAAAGTTCATAGTTATATATTATAAAATTCCAGTGTTTTATTTGTGAAAACGAGTCAAATGAAGATCTTGTCTTCCTTGCCCCACAGTGAGAATTTCACAAAGCTTTAAAAATGACATGTCTTGTTTGTTTTGCAGTCTGTCGCATCTGACATGCGATTCACTGGAATTTTTGCAGAAGAAGAGGTTGCTCCGGTGACCAAGCGACAGCGAGTTCTGAACTCCAGATATCGTGGGGACTATGTTGAGCCATCTCTCTACCGTGCAATTATGGAATAAAATTGCTATAATTACAGAAACTGTTCAGAACATGACCTATGGAAGCCATTGTGACAGATTTTGGTTTTCATATCTGGTTGTATTGTAGATACGTCAAAGCAGTTGAGGTGCAGCTGAATTCTAATCCCTTTGGTGGCAAAACTACCAAGGGTACCTCGTTATTCGCAACACTCCCATTGAACTTGAATATTGAATATCATGGGATTCAGCAAAGCTGTTTTCAGGCGTTTTTTTGCTCATGCTCCGGAGTCTTGCATTTTAAACCGCAAACTAATCAGGATCGAGGAATGCCTTTAATGGAGTCTTCAGTGGGCTAGAAATAGGATTGCAAAAAAAAAGTCTTTCGGTTAGATTTCAACACTAACATCCATGTTCAGAATAAAAAATGCATTTACATTTTAATATTGCTGATCCCTGTTTGGTAAATGTCATTAACATCTACATTCAACTACCAGTTGAAACCTATTGCATACCTGGTCTGTTGAACATAAAAGTACTAACTTTGAAGATTGATTGACGCATGGCTGTTTAACCATAGGCATAGAAGCATTCCCTCTGTATATAGGCTGTGAAGTTCTGGAAGTTGTGAATGGGTTTTCACCATATCCAGTCATTAGCCCAAAACTAGGGCCCTCACCGGTGCTTGAGTTAAAACTCTTATCTGTATTTATAGGGGAAATCTTAACCATATAGGTTGGCTGATATGATTAGACACAAGGTTTTTAAAAGTTTCACCCCCATACCTCAAATATAGCGGTTTATTCAGTGTTCATAATGGAAATAAACAGAAAATTGACATTGAATGGTAAGTATTAATGATAAAGTAGCAAATGATTTATGAATGGCCCTGCCCAAACCAAAATCCCAGCTGCCCAAATTGCTCTTCTAAAGATGTCCCCATCTTTGTGAACCTCATGTACTGATAGACTTGCGTGCTGTTTTTACTTGTGTCACAAATTATATTTGTTTATTCAATGAATTATTAAATTTTATTCCAATATTCTTGCAAACTCAATTGCAGTGTAAAATGCTCCTTTCAGTTACGTTATTGGTTTGGTGTAGACTGTAGAAACAGACACTAGACAAATGCCACAAGATTACTCTTTATATTGAAACCATGGTGGATGTTCCCTTTGGGCCAAATACAAAGTTGTATGCAAATATTACTAGCCATGGTAGCTGGTTTAATGGACTGGCTCTTTTTGAAGTTTACTATTTCTGATATTTATTGGGTTAGATCAGTGCCATCTGCTGTTGAGAGATTTGGTAGAATAATAGAACTGAACAGGTTGTTATCTTAAAAATATAGTAAATTTAACTATTAGACCTAGAAAATCAGTTGTTCAGTGACTGCATTGTGTGTTCTTAAAGTCGCATTGCATCTAAGTTCATCAGTAAGACTCTTTGTTCAGTCTGAGCTACTTCTATTTAAAAGAAGAAATATAAGTAAATTTAAACTATTTTGAACCTGTGAACAAAAAAGAAAGTTTAATTAACCAGAAAAGAAAATGAAATGCTAGTACAAAATATATAGTTGGCAGCCATAATTCAATATTCCTTTTCTTTCTCTAAAAAACAGCAAACTTAAAACTTTCTAAACTATTTTTATTCACCTTGGTTCTTTTAAGTTATTAGTAGCATACCATTTTAGCCCATCGCCTTTGATCCTACATTTCAGAAAAATAGTTATTCTTCCAAAACTGACATGACTCCACTCTAATAAGAGCAGAATACTGCAGATGCCAGAGATCTAAAACAAAAATAATGTTTGCTGCCTGGCAGCAAGTGTTTCTCCAGCATTTTCTGTTTTTATTTCATACTTCCAGCATCCACAGTATTCTGCTTTGATTTGAAGATCTAGTTATATCCAGAACCTTGTATTTTCTGTTGCAATTTGCAAGTATGCAGCCCATGGGTCACAATGATGGCAAATATTGCTTTCTTAACATTGATTTGGATACAAGAAACATATCTGATATTGGCTTGTGTATCTTCTATTTCAGCACTTTTTAAAAAAAATTTTGTTATTCAACCCCTTCTTAAATGATCAGTCTCCTTAATGATGCTCTCTTTAGTGAAGGAGTCCTACATCTCTGTCACTTGATGGTTCTGCCACGATAGAAGACAGTCGGTGCAACCATTATAAAAGTTGTGATCTTTTTGACAGATGAGTAATTTCTCAACAAATTTAACAGCTCTTTTATACGTTTGAAAACTATTGGCTCTTTGAGTTTAATGTTACTTCACAAGTTTGCTTATTTATTGCAGCTCACCTATTTTTTTTTTTAAAAATCCATCTTCAAACTTCTTGTGGAATGATTTTGCATTCCCCACATACCCCCAATCCCATCCCCATTTCTCATCTTTTGAACATGTTTTAAATCATTGTGTCTAATCTGAGGCCTACAGTCTACACTACAACCACCTCAGGAGTCTGTACAGTAATTGATTGTATTGATCTATGAAAATGACTGTATTAGTTCAAACAAACATGAAGTTTAAATGGCTTGCTGTGATTGTTTAGGAAAATAAGACACCTTGAAATGATTTGCAGTTAATAAATGTTTTTTGTCTTTGATTCTGCTTTGTTCCAATCCAGTCTTCAGGTACACTACTAGTTCTATAACATATTTCTCTACTTGTGCTAAAATTCACTTTTGTTTTCTCTCTTTTTTCAATTTTGTCAATATCGGGGCTAATTAATGTAATTTTCCGGCAATGGGGAAGGAGAGAGGGCAAGAGCTGGGTGAAAAAGATTCCTTTAGTAAATTTATATAATCAACACTGTAACATCTGAAATAAGCACCCACACTTTCTAATGGTTGTCTCCTATGTGAGAATGCAAAATCAGAAGCTATAATTGATTTTGTGAAGGATCTATGGCTGGTATCACTGAAAGAAGTATATCTTGTAAATACCCAGCAACCTCTTCAGTAAGGATACAAATGTTTCCATGTCCTAAATAGATGTTTCTTTGACAACATTATTAGTAAAAGAGAAAATGTTGACTTGTTTTTCGGTTTCTCTGAACTAACATGAATCTAACTGAAGAGAGTTTTTCAGATTAATTTTTTGGATAAGTGATGTTCTAAGACTAACTGGGCACATTTTAGAACTGGAGCACACTTTTATAATGAAGCAATATCCCACAGAATAAAATAAACTAGCCTTGCATAAAGGAGAAATGTTGCAGCTCTCTCCCATGTTTGTTTCACAGGCAATTTCAAATTCTAATGCCCTTTCAAAGAAAATAATCTGACTAAACAATAATTGATTACTCTCTCTGATCACAAAACGTGTATCGAGATGAGTGGAAAGAGTTGCATTCTGGTGCCTAACTCACTGATTTTTGTTTTGAATAGAAATGAAATTAATTGCCAGTTGGTAAGGTTTGATTGACAGCTGAAATGGTTTATTTGAACTTTTGTCATGTTTTTACAATACAGCTTCTTTTAACAGTCTTATTAACTGATTTTTGATCTTCAGCTACTGTTCTATAATTCAATGCAGCTGGTAGAATTTAAATTCACCTAACAGTTCTGCAATTGAAATGATGATCATGAATTGTCATAATTGTCATTTAGAACCCATCTGGTTCACTTAAGTTATTTCAGGAAGGAAGTCTGGTGATCCATGCCTGGTCTGGCCTTGATGTGACTCCAGACCCCTGCAATGATTCCTCTGCCTTTTTGTTTAAAAACCTTTTTTTGATTGCTTGATTTCAGTGGGCTGGTGTATTTTCAATTATGGATCCTGCAGAAATATGGTATGTGCTTTTTAAATCCAACTGTGATTCTGCAGTGCAGAATAATTGGGGGGGAAAGCAAACTACATCCCCTTTTTCACAGCATTAGTTGCCATATTTGAACAAAGAACAAAGAAAATTACAGCACAGGAACAGGCCCTTTGGCCCTCCAAGCCTGCGCCGATCCAGATCCTCTATCTAAACCTGTCACCTATTTTCCAAGGATCTGTATCCCTGTGCTCCCTGTCCATTCGTGTATCTGTCTGTCTAGATACATCTTAAATGACGCTATCGTGCCCGCCTCTACCACCTCCACTGGCAACGTGTTCCAGGTACCCACCACCCTCTACGTAAAGAACTTTCCACACATATCTCCCTTAAACTTTTCCCCTCTCACCTTGAAATCATGACCCCCTAGTAATTGAGTCCCCCACTCTTGGGGAGGGAAAAGCTTCTTGCTATCAATTTGGGATTTAAATGTCCAGCAGTACAGACCACCACTTTGACAGCGCCTGTGAAAGGGTAAATATGTGGGATGGGTGCCAGATACATGACTCTGAGGGAGATGTGTGGGGCCAGCAAGGGGGTGTGATGTGTCTGGGCTGGTGGGTTGAGGATATTACGAAGAGGGTCCTGGGGAGGTGGATGAGAAAGAAAGGGTGTCACCCCTCCTGTACCTCTGGCTCAGTTGTTTATTCATCCAGCAAACTTTGCACACAGTGAACAAGGATGCCACAACTATTGGATAAGGGTAAAGGCAAGGCAGTATGCTTCAAGTACCCCCTTGTCTGCCTAACTCAGTCTACGATTACTAACCAGATAAGACCAAATTTACTGAAGAGTTGTGACTGCCTCCCAAGATTTACAGAATCTATCTAACTCTTCCCGTCCTTGATCTTTTGTAACATTTGTATTTTGAACTCCTGCTCAATAGCACTTGGAAATGCAGGCATTTGTGTTATGAAGGGTCTTTAAAATCCCGATACTCAAGTAATGTTAACGTGGAGAAAAAAATGGATCTTTTCAGTTCTGCAAAGTAAGTTTGTTTTTTTTTAAAATCAGTCATTTTGAACATAGAGTTGAAAAAGTTTGGAAAAAGTCATGGGGAGATCATTAAGGTATTTGCTGACTTAAGTTTTTTTTATGACCACCAGACAGGGAAGGTCAGAAGTAGGTTCATGTGAAGAGAGAGGATGTCTACAAAAAGAAAAATAAAACCTA